ATCTGCCCAAGTTATGATTACTAAAGATGAAAATGCAGTTTGAGTTCGGACTGACACTGAAATTCTGTTGACATCCATAAGCTCGATAATAATTCTTTAGGTGTAATAAACGTATTAGTACATACCTCATCTATATGATATTTATTTATATTAGTACATAAGCAATGTCTGCCCTTCAACATAACAGTGTTAACAAGTTCATTACCTAGGTGATCGTTGCCATTAGTGTTTTATTCTTACAATAACATCAGTGCAGCTGTTCAGATTATAGATCCAAAATTACAAGCTGTTTATAAGACATGTATTTGATTTGCTGTAAACTTTGGGGTGATACTCCATTAGGAATTAATGTCATTAATAGTCATAATAACATATATGTATATATATATATATATATATCAAGAGTAGATAATGTTATTATCTACTCTTGATATATATATATATGGTCATGGTCATATATTAGTTTGTGGTTTAATGTCATTTAGGTTAGGGTTAGGGTTAGGGTTAGGATTATCAATCATTAATCATTAATCATTAATGATATCAAATTTGGGAACATTCCTAATGGAGGTTAGCCAAACTTTGGCAGACCCAATTCGGAATGTATGATGAATGAACTGTGAACTGATGAACTAATGAATGATGTTGTTTTAATGCCCTAGCAACCTTGGCTACACACACATGAAGCATGCATGAGGTTTTCAGTATACATGCATATATATATATATATACAGCCACTCACTTACTGAAAACACATGCTTATACTGTTTGCCTTCTCCAGCCCTCCCCCTGTGCACACATTTGTGTGTAAACATGATTGATGACACAGGTTTGGCTGTTTCGTTTTGGGGTAAAGTGACCATGGTGCTCTCTACTCTCTATATTCTCATGAACTGAATATTTAAAATGTGGAGAAATCGGTGCTGTATGGGGCAGCAGTTGCAAGATGTCTCTTTTTGTACCAATTGCTGCTGAAATGTATGAATCTTGTAGTGGCATAACAGCTGTACTAACTAAAGCTGTAACGGATCTTGGGTTTAGGCATCACCATCTGGAGATACAGTTGAAGGGGTGGGGTTGTAACTTGTAGTGTATATATATATCACCCCGAGAGTTAGGATTTTATAGTGGCCGATTGTGGATAAGTATGCGCAGGAAACACTGAGGCAAATTTTTCATCACTAACTTCTTGTATTTAAAATCTAAATAGTGCAAAGTACAGCATATTGTTTGACTGTATGTTGTACCTATAGATTCGGCCATAGGGTATGTAAACCCAATGTTGTAGAGTTGGCCAGTGGTCACCCCATCCTTCCCCGTACCTTACTTTAGCCAGACCGGAGCAAACAGCAACACAGTGTGGTGCTTTTTTATGTGTGCAAAACGTTCCAGGGTGGAGAATATCGTTTGACATTCATGTTAATTAATGAAGATTCTGTGCTGCTGGGTGTATTTTTAACTTTCACATCTGCTAACCCAGCTAATGGCGTCGTCATGGTTACAATATTATTTTCCAACCGACGGAGTGGAGTTAACGACATCACCTGGGTTACATCCGTCCCACATCCGTGACCCAAACTAACAGTATCGCCACAGCTACCTTCAGCATCTTTCTTCCAGAACCCATGAACTAAAATAATGGCGTAATTATGGTTATTATGTCGTCTTCTTGACCTCCAAACCTGAACTAGTAGTGTCACCATGGTTGTGTGTCCTTTCCAACTCCATGAGTGTAACTGGCAGTGTTGCCATGGTTACCTCTTTCTCAGCCTCATGAGTGTACCTAACAGTGTCACCAGGTTTACTTCCGCGTCCCAACCCCGCAAATGTGACTGAAACGTATCCGTGTCGTCAGGGTGCTAATATCCTCCCTGACCCCTGCGCATCACACTAACGCTGAGAGGGTCTATGTCCCCCGGGGTACGGTCCGGTATACCGGAACGTACCCTGGTACTATCTAATATGCCAGACCGTGCCTCGCCTACTCCACTAATGAGTCTAGGGAGTCGCCTACGCCTATTCCCTCACCCGAACCCGAACCCTAACCCTAATCCTAACCCTAACCCTAACCCTAATCCTAACCCTAACTATATCAAATAGTGACAGGGTACGTTCCGGTATACCGGACCGTACCCAGGGTACGTTCTGGCAGTACCCTGGGGGACATAGACCCTATGAGCCACACTAACAGGCATCTCTGTTGTTGCGTTAGATCTCACATGGGCGTCGGTGAACCGGGGCGTGCTGATATGCGACGAGTGCTGCAGCATCCACCGCAGCCTCGGCCGGCACATCACGCAGGTGAAGAGTCTCAAGAAGGGCTCGTGGTGCCCCGCCATGCTCGCGGTGAGTATCCACGGCAACGCGAATGCAGACGCGCGGAAAATGTAAATTCGTGTATTAAAGTTGTTAGTAAAGTTGAACTAGGGGTTTGGGTTGTCACTAGTTACATGCTGTGGTAACTTACTCGTGTAGTATCAAGAGCTAATAATACCTAGAGTGTACAACGGAAAAACGGGAAAATAGTGCTATTTCACAACAACATTATTCTACTTTGCCTGCGAGTCTAGAATAATTTTATGGTATTGCATTAAGCAGAATTCTTTGCTCTCTAAAACAAGACCAACCGCTTGTCAATACGATACTCCTAGGCTGAGATATTGGCTCCTAAACCTCCCCTCCCACATGCCTCACGCCGCCTCGCATCCCGGTTATTCAGCTACCTCAACGCCCCTAAGCATTGCTTCGTGAAAGTTCGGTTTTTCCGCAATAACTTTATGAGTAAACGGCGTTTCGGCGATAACTTAATGCAATACCATAAAATTATTCTAGACTCGCAGGCAAAGTAGAATAATGTTGTCGTGAAATAGCACTATTTTCCCGTTTTTTCATTGTACACTCTAGGTATTATTAGCTCTTGGTAGTATCAGTCTCTTAATTGATTGCATATGGTGCAATTATTTTGCCGGGGTGGTGAATACGAAGAGTGAAACGAGAGGGATGGGTTAGATATTCAGATAGTCTGGCGAGGTTCTTGCATAGAAATTTTTTTTTACATTTAAAAAAAAATCTTTTTTAATTTTATTTCTAGACCAACATTGACAAAACGTACATTAAGTACATAGTTGAGATGCGTTGAATTATTTGCGATGTTGCATAGAATTATCGGGTAAAATGCCCCACGATTGTGTTTGTAGCTTAGTGAAGTCAGTAAAATGAGTTGCAGTAGATCTAAAGTGGATCCATGATGAAATTTATCATTACATAGAAGTTGTACTTGTAGCTATGGCAGTTTGATGGCAGTATGCTTACGAATTCTCTAGAGCGATGGGGTGTGGTGGTGGGCAGAGGGAGGCATGACAGAAATCCGGACACCGGCGGTGACATGACGAAACTGGTGTCTTTCAGATGGTGCACACACTGGTGAATAATGGGGCAAACTCCGTCTGGGAGCACAACCTTCTGGACCCGGCACAGGGAAAGTCGGGCCGACGGAAACCGCTGCCGAAAGACCCGGTGCAGTAAGTGCCTCGTGCAGGCATGGCGCCCATCTATAGCTATTGTCCTTGAACATGCGTCTAAACAGAGGAATTGCTCCGACCTGTGATTGGAGGATGAAAATAGAACCCGCCCACTTTTCCATTTTCGGAGGATAAAAATAGAATTCGTGACGTTTCGTTTCACCGGTCATAGCCGCGCGTGCATATTTGCTAATTAATTAGACTAATCGCGCTTCAATAGACTCAAAATTCACAGAGATTAAGGCTAAGACATGTGTCTATAATAGCTAGAATTTATAGAAATGTAACTGAAATCGTTCGCTCCATATGATAGTTAGTACACGTTCCTACCAGTCATAGCATAGCGTATGCGGCGGGAGTGGGCGGGGTCTATTTTTATCCTCCAATCACAGGTCGGAGCAATTCCTCTGTTTAGACGCATGTGTCCTTGACTGTGGAAAGTCGTCTCTCAGACTCGCATCTTGGTAGTCTGAGCATGTCGTTTGAATTTGGTGCTAAAATATGAGTTTAATTTGTATTTTTACTCTATTTAATTTTAACAATGATGAATTTCATGAGCTACGTAGATAAGACCTCACCCTGTGGGGAGAATAAATTATAATATACGTGATTTTAATGATTTATTTGTTGTTAATTCGTTGCAGTCCAACTAAAGCGGATTTCATACGAGCCAAATATCAAGTGTTAGCGTTTGTGCATCGATTGAAGGATGACGATTCAGGAGCGGCACTAGATGACATAAACCGGGTGTGTGACCTTACTGCAAACTACGCTTATAATACCTCAACAAACCTAGTATATTAATTTATAATGCATGGATGTACGTATGCATGTGTGCATGCGTGCGTGCGTGCATGCATGTGCATGTATCTACGTATACATGTGTATACAGTAGTGTAATTCACAAGTTTATAATACATGTAAGCCTGGTACAGGGTTAGAAATTAAGGGCAGCAAGCACCAGCTGCCTACAAGGGTCAGTTTGCTGCGTGCTCTCAAGGTCGGCAGCAAATAATCGCTGCCAATAAATTTCGAATAGACCGTAGTAAAGGCACCAAAGATGGCGTTTCACCCTGTGCATGGTTTTGTGTTTCCGTAGCAACTACACGCAAGCGTGAGGACAGAGAAGTTGGAGACAACGTTCCGTCTGTTAGCCCTTGGCGCCGACCCAAACTTCTGCCACTCGGTAATTACGCATGCGCGCTCGACGCTGAGAGAGATGTTTGGCGAAACGTCATATCCCCATCGACATATCGATTCGGCCAATATCACGTTTGTTTTAGTGCATCGTAACGTTGTCACCACATCCTCATTATAATGTCGATTCTTCCAATATCCCGTTTGTTTTCATTTATCGTAATGTTATCACCACATTCTCATCGTAATACCAATTCTTCCAATATTACGTTTATTTTAGCGCATCGCAATGTTGTTTGTCACATCTTCATTATATTACTATATCTTCGAATATCAAGTGGCGGTGTTGGCGGCAGCGGTGGTGTTGTTGCTGCTGTTGCTGCTTCTGTAGTTGTTAGTAGATGTTGTTGATGGTGGCAGCGGTGCTGGCTGACCAATCCTCGGCGGGCTACATTTGACCCCTTGACCTTGATGTTGACCTTGCCTCTGTGTTGCGTAGGAGAAGAGCAACACGACGCCGCTGCACATCGCAGCGAAGGCCTGCCAGGCCGCCCAGGTGGAGCTACTGGTCGTGTACGGAGCCGACCCGGGCGCACTCGATACCGCGGAGAAGACCCCTGTCGACTACGCAAAGTAAGTGCAACATAGCCCCCCTCGTTTATGTGGAGATGGTCCCCTGGCATGGGTGCATCGGTGTACTAGCTCATGTCCGATGCACCCATGCCAGGGGACCATCTCCATGCCAGGGGACCATCTCCACATGAACTAGTACAAGGTTCATCGGTGTACTAGTTCATGTGGAGATGGTCCCCTGGCATAGGTTCATCGGTGTACTAGTTCATGTGGAGATGGTCCCCTGGCATAGGTTCATCGGTGTACTAGTTCATGTGGAGATGGTCCTCTGGTGCTGGGGGCCTGGGGCCCCTCCTTTATGTAGAGACGGTCCCCCAGTGTTAAGGGCATGTCATCTCACTCGTTTATGTAGAGACGTGAAAGCAGTGATTGCAGATTTTACTGGGAGGTGCTCCCACTTACTGTTAAATTTACGCGAAAGTTTAAACAGTGTGGGAGTGGCGTAAACGAGAGAGAAATCGCGTTCCCTCACTCCTCTGCATTCTTGGATTGAATGTGTCATTCCGTTCAATTAAACGTGCATAAATTTATTTTGCGCAGGGAGGGTGGTCACCCCGACCTCGCTGACCGACTGGTGGAGTTTCAGTATGAGGTTACAGACCGGCTGACCCACTACCTGTGCGGCCGCAAGCCGGACCACCAGAGCGGACAGCACTTCCTGATTCCGGAGATGGCAGACTCGAGCCTGGATCTGTCCGAGCTGGCCAAGGCAGCGAAGAAGAAGCTACAGATGGTAGTGCAGTTGTAGTGTAGATATATGTGCAATGTTAGCTTCGTCCCTTGTCTGTTACTTCTTCATTCCATCATTTGAAGTAGAAGCTACAGATGGTAGTGCAGTTGTTGTGTTGTAGTGTAGAAATGTGTTCGATGTTAGCCTCGTTCGTTGTCTGTTACCGCTCTATTCCATCAAAGAAGAAGCTACAGAGTCTCTCTCTTTCTCTCTCTCTCTCTCTCTCTCTCTCTCTCT